CCAATTGGAACCGACAGGTATCCTGTTCCAGAACCGATTATTCCAGATAGATATCCAATTGGTGGAGGAAGATATCCAACTGCGCCAACTGGCAGATATCCAGTCGCTCCAGGACGTTATCCAACGGAAGGTGAACGTTATCCAACTGCAATAGATCGTTATCCTGTTCCTGAAGATCCATTGGATAGATATCCTTCTAGTGTGTCTAGACCTACAGGAGACAGATATCCTGTTGGTGATAGATATCCCGATAAGGATTATCCTAGTAGGTCAGTTGATAAATCATAAGATATATTTTTAATCTGCAATATGTATATATACGTATATATATTAATTATATTAATAAATAAAAATATAAATAAACATTACAAAATTATACAACAAATACAAAAATGATTTATATTACTATCAAATAAAAATTTTGTTAAATATACATATACACACACACATTATTATCTTTTCTTCTTTATAAATTATATTTAAGTAGATATCCAGGAAACGGACATGGCGTTTATGCGCATGGGTTCATCGATGACGTACGAGGTCCCCAGAGTCATCCAGTCGAGCGTCCACATTACGGACCAACACGTCCAGGTGGATATAATGGATATGGTAGCGATTCTGGTGGTATAATCGGTGGTGGTTATATAGGAGAAGGTGGTGTTTACAATACTAGACCATTTGGTACCAGCGGAGGACCAATAATAGGTCGACCACCCTTAATCTCGAGATGCGATGAACAGGATAATTTTCGTCAAGTTGGACCTCATACAAGAGTACGAAAACCTTTCGTTAGAAGATACACAACAGCTTCGTCCTTAGCACAGTGCGAAAGGGAATGTGCTGATGCTAGAGATTTCGTATGCAGATCTTTCAATTATCGTCCTTACGCAGCACCTTATGGAGCCGAAAGGGATAATTGTGAATTAAGCGACCGTGACTCCAGAGACATGGATATGGGAAATCCAATTTATTATGACACAGGATCTGATTATGATTTTTATGAAAGAAATAATGGAAGACAAGGTGCCGATGGGGAATGTCTCGATGGTAAAATTTATTAATAAATAATTCTAATAATAACCACAACCCCTCCTCCCTCACCCCAATTAATTATAATAATTATAGGAAGCAATACCAAACAATGGATCATCGCTTGATATTTCGATATTTTCCATTATCACAAAAATGACGAGGAATCTCTCAATCAAATATTGATATATAATTCAATTATTGTATCTATAATATATCTAAATTCTATTCGATAATAAAATTTTGTCTACTTATCAACTAATTCGTACATATATATATATATATATATGTTGATCTATCAATTATTATTATTATACGTAGAAAATGACGTTACATAATTAATTAATTTTGTTTGCAGTGAGTCAAGTTTGTAGCGAAGACGGAATGGAATTTACTTTAAGAACACCGGAAGGATTCATCGGTAGAATTTACACGTATGGTTATTACGATCGATGTTTCTTCCGTGGAAATGGTGGAACAGTGAATGTACTTCGAATCAGTGGACCCCAAGGTTATCCTGAATGTGGTACCCAACGTGTAAGAATTAATCATGCACAATATTTTTTCTAATCCTTAATTTTAAAATTTAATCACGTCAGATATCAAAATAAATTACAACAAAAGTAATGTGTAAATAAATTGTTGTTGTGTTTAGTATGGTGATACGATGACAAATATCGTAGTGGTCCAATTCTCGGATTATGTTCAAACAGGAAGAGATAAACGTTTCAATCTTACATGTCTGTTTCGAGGCCCTGGTGAAGCTGTCGTCACGTCCGGCTACATCGGTGCCGGGTATGCCAGGTCATATCGATCGAAAGATCGTGTATTGCACCGGAAAAAGCTAATGCATTATCTAATTCATGCGAACGATTAATACAAAGCACATTGTCTTTAATAGTGTATTATATAAGTATGTTAGCACGGTACAAAACACGTTCCTGGAATCTCACAGATCATTATCTCAGTTAAATACCTTTGATATATTATAATAGTTTTCCTTCTAGTTATGATCTAATAACTTTTAAAAAAACAAATTAATTATACCTTGATATAATACAATTTAACTATTCATCATTAATATAAATAATTGTACACAGACTAAAATGATTAATTCTGGAATATTTTTTTAAAATAATCGACATTTTCAAAGTTTTTAAATTTCAATTAAATTTCTCTGGAATAATTCGACATGAATATTTTTATTCGACATGATATTTAATTTGAAAGGTCATCGAATAATAATAAATGTGATAACGTACTCTCAAGCACGAATTTATCCGAATTGTTTTTTCTATTTTCGGAATTAATCGATTTGGTAAATGAATGGGTGGTTGATATTATTAAATCTCATTGGGACAGTAATAATCTTTTCATATATTTGAATAGGAAGTTTAATTTAGCTAATGGAAAGCTTTTATATACGTTTCAACAGATCAGGTTCTCCTATCCCAATTGAATATCTCCCAGCAGAAAATACTTTGAGTTCTCGCGTGCGTCTGTTGATTCTATATCAAGGTAGACCAACGACTACTATAGCAGTTGGTGATCCTCTTACTTTTAGATTGGAAGCACAAGAAGGGTAAGTGTAATGAAAACATTTGCATTTATAATCAATTCTACATATTATCGTTTTACTACTTCTATTATTCATTTGAATCAATTTTAATTGTAGATACAATTACGTAACTGATATATTCGCTACCAACGTCATAGCAAGAGATCCATACTCGGGTAGAAGTGTTCAACTTATTGACAGATACGGGTGAGTCTTTAAAAATAAATTCTAAAACAAAAACTAATATGATGTCTCCCTTCAACTTTATATTTTTTTCATTAAAATTTGATTTATCTCTTCTCAAAAAAAAAAAAATAGTTGTCCAGTTGATAATTACGTTTTTCCTGGATTGGATCGTCTCCGAGATGGTGACAGTTTGGAAGCTCGTTTCAATGCATTTAAAATACCAGAATCGAATTTCTTGGTATTCGAGGCAACAGTTAGAACCTGTAGGGATGGATGTCAACCAGCGTATTGTTCAGGTGGTAGTGGAAGAAGTGAACCATCTTTTGGAAGAAGACGAAGAGATTTAAGCAATGATACAATCCTAATGGAAGATAATTTAGCTGAAGCTGCAATTATTGAGAATGATGATAACAATACAGTTACGTTAAATTCGACCTATGTTATGGGTACTCGATTAAATGATGACAATGAAGAAGAAGAAGAAGAAAATGAGGAATCTGAGGAAGAACATGTCAGAGAAATGATTGAGGTATGCAAATGTTAATACACTGGATGTATAATTGTGATAATAACATTTGAATTAAAAAATTTGTTTCATTTTTCTAGGTACTAGATTCGAGAATGGACATAGAAGAAGAAGAAACTATGGTTGAAAAACAAAGTGCAGTTCTTGAGACAGTTTGTATAGCCCCAAATGAATATTATGGTCTAGTTACTGCAGTTGGTGTTCTGGTAGTATTATTGGCTTCTGTGGTATTACTTTCAATGTTGGTTTACAGGTAAGTAAACCAATCACAATAATTTTTACTAAATTATTTAATTATCTATTATATTAAAAATAATTATGATAGGAAACATGCATATTCTGTGATCATGAAAAATCGAAAAGTTGATAAAGCTGGCAGTCGTAGCAACCATTCTGATGATGCAACTTACAGTAGTCGAGTTAACAACTTTTCGTTTATGAGAAGTGGACTACAAAAACCATTTCAATCCACGTAGGACATTCAAATACATTTTTTTTTGTCTTTTTCAATTACGATAAATTAAAAAAGATTATAATTGTTCGTTCGTTTCGATCGACGTAATTTATAGATCAATATCAAGATCGATGAGCAATATCATCGGACAACGTATGAGTTCATCTTCGACGGCTTTAGAAGGTGCCGTTGGTTTGTCAACACCTAGAAGATCAGGATTTGATCCTAGCGAGCCAATTTATACCGATCCTTCCTTATTCGAAGTGAATCGTTGTTCACAAACTATGTCCAAACAAGCTTTAAATGATAATTTTCATCTTATGTAATAAGAAAAGAAGAAAAAAAATCATTCGCGTTTATTTATACGCTTTTTAAAAAATGTGAATTAATTTTTCTTTTGAAAAAAACGTTAAAAATCAAAATGTATTTGAACGATGATCAAACTCAATTTACGTATGAACAAATGTAACGTGACAAAATGTAAACTTTAAATATTTTTTTTGTGTGAATTGCTTACTAACAAAAATTTACTCTGCTAGTCAAGATCAAAACTATCAATAACCGATTAATCACTGCCAAATATTCATATTATACAGAATCACTATATGAAACAACAAATTTATTAAGTGTACTTAATATTTTCATTCAATTTTTCCCGATAATTATTAAGAAATAATTTTATATATATATGCTCCTAGACATTTTTTACTAATTCAATTTATACAAATCGATAAATTGTATATGTATTTTTAAATATGTAACAATTTCTCCCAATTTGAAAATACTCTCTTTTTATTTTTACAATAATAATAATAATATTATATTATACGTTGCTTCCAATACCTATGAATACTCTTACGATTGTTCACTAAATTCTACAATATAAAAAAAAAAAGAATGATTTGTTTATTAAAAAAAAAAAACATAAACGTATATTTATTAGATTTATACCATAATTGCATTGATAATTATTATAGTAAATTAATATCATATCGATTTGATCAATCAATTAATATAATCTAAAAATATAAGAGAGAACGTTGAAATAAGTTCTAAATAATTTTAGCTTACATCCCTTTTTTTTAATTTCTACTATAATAATAATATTACGTTATAATATTATTTAAAAAGAAAAAAAAAGAAAACCAAATACTTTTACGAGATTATACAAAAAAAAAAACAAAAATCCTAACTTTTTCATTAAACAAACATGAACATATGCAAAATGATACTTGCTATAAATACATATATTAATAATTATTAATACAATCGCATTCATAACTGTATTAAATGGATAAATATTACATAAAATATAATCAACCGATAACTATATTATTTAACAAAAAATGGAACAAAATAACGAACGAAAGAATGAAATTTAGAAATAAGAAAGACCTTTAAAAGACGTTTCTGATATCTCCTCAATCCTCTTTTATCCTCTCAAGCTTGTAAGTAAAGAAAAGTACTCTGAGTCTAGCCTCTTCTTTACGATAAACAGCCTCCTCCAGTTTGATTCTAGCTTCCTCTTTTAACATAGCTGCTACGTCAACCTTAATCTGAGCTTCTGATAATGCAAGAAGTTGCAATTCGTCTTCTTTTTGCAATACTTTTGTTTTATGATTAACATGCGAATCGTTTACTCCTGAAGGAGATGATAAAACAAAGGCTTGAGTTCTATCAGGTTTATAAGCTAAGTGATTAGGTTCAATCGATTCTTCTTCGTCCATTGATCTATGATCCATGATCGATAGATTATTTAATTCCTGATGATTGTCATTTGACATTATTCCTTGCGATTGAATCATACTAATCGTTTGTTTATTAATAATTGTATCTTGAATATCAGAAATATTGTTCAATGTATTATCTGCTATGAGAATATACGATAATTGGAAATTTCAAATAAAAATATAACAATATATATATATATATATATATATATATATATATATATATATATATATATATATATATATNATATGTATGGATATTATATATGAATAAAAATAAATATTTAAAATTTATACCATTAGACTCGTTGCCACTTGTTTCAGGTTCCTTTTTCAAGCAAATATTCGTAGGTTTCGTCGCACTTACACTTTGCAAAGTAAAAGGTTCCGAATCTTTTGGTTCAAAGACTACGTTAGGCGGTAAGCAGCCATTTCCGTTAGCCGGTGTTACTTCCGGTTTATGATTTTCGTAGATATTTCCGTTTTCCCAAGAAGAAATCGACGATTGATTGAAATCCTTTGACAATTGACTCGAACTTTTTGAATTGTTTCTACGCATGTTAATTTATCAAAATTTTAGGTTAAATGGATAGATTATTTCGAGAAAAATGTTTATGTCTATTTTTTTCTCTCTTTGTTTTTCTTTATTATAATTAATAAATTTTATAAATATATAATGTAATTACCGGGTTTTTTTCTCCTCGCGATTTCTTTTACAAGCTTTCATATTTTCCCAACAACGTCTTAATTGTACAGCCGAACGTGCACTTTGTGGACCAACTATCGAATTATATTCTTCAACTAATAATGACCAAGCCGATTTTCTTTTACTCATCGATATCGGATCCGATTTTCTATCCTCTATATCTTCGTATTTGTTAATCAAACTTATTAAGATTTTTCGTTCCTCAAAACTATACGTCTTTCTAGTACCTTTTATCGATACGGGAGCCATTTTGCCGTAAGAAAAATTATCGAATCGATCACAAATATTCCATTGTTTATTTCTTGTATAAGATGTAAACCATAAATTATATCCTATAATATAAAAACATGTAATATATATTAGAAACAAAAGTTGTTACTAATGAAAATATTCGTATCGATACTACAGCGCACTCTGGAAAAAAGATATTGAAAACGCGCAAAATCGCAAGATGTATTTTAATTAAAATTTTAAATCATACGATTTTTAAAAAGCAATAAAATAATAATAAAAAAATATTTATTTTACTCTGGATTCATCAATATGCCTTATTAATAAAAAAAAAACACATAAAACAAGTCGATTTAAAAGATTAACATTATTTGTGATTTTTTAAAATAACTCGTATAAATACTACAGCGCACTCTGCGAAAAAAATATTGAAAACGCGCGAAATCGTAAGATGTATTTTAATTATAATTTTAAATCACACGGTTTTTAAAAAGCAATATAATATTAAAAAATAATTTTAAAAAACATTTATTTTAATCAGAATTCAACACAACACGCGTTATTAATAAAAAAATAACACATAAAACAATTCGATATAAAAGAAAAATATTATTTATGATTTTTAAAATAACTCGTATCGATAGGTTACATGTAGCGCGCTCTGTGAGAAAAATATCGAACACGAGCGAACAAAAAAATTAATCCTTTATAAATCCTTTTAAAAATAAAAGTTAATCCTTTTAAAAATGTTCTATATAATTCAAACTGCATATGGTATTGTTTGTAGTGGGAATACGTAAATGAAAGTGAATGTAAACAATACAAACGTTCAACTCGGCTCAACGTTGACTTACCTCTTCTCGATAGGTAAACAGTCAGTTTATAACAATACTTCATCATATTGACACTGTTGCTTCTGCTTTAGAAATTATTCGTAGCGTTCAATCAATTATTACATTTTCTAATTAACAAATATTCGCTTAACATATAATACATTTTACATTAATATTAATTATGCATTTGTAATAATCGTTTAATTAATATTTTTAATTTTAAAGATAAATTCATCTATAACGTATCATTTTTTGTTTTCATATTTGATTATTTTTAATTATAATATTCGTATTTCTTTCACAGTACTAATCATTTAATTATTTTATCAATTATTATATTTGTTAATACTTATTTTTACAGATACATTTATTCAACGTATAATCATTTATATCTATTTGATTTTTGACATTTATTTCAATCTCTATTTCTAATCCTTATTTTTTATTTAGTTTTCTTTTTCTTTTTATATTATAGCACTACGATACTTCTTTGACATCATACATAGTATATATATATATATATATATTTTTTTTTTTTTATAATAACAATAGATTTAACGGTTTATATTAATTTTCAATAATTTGTTTAAATGAAAAATAAATTGGTATCAGATAAAAAGAAGTCTGAAAATATATTAAGTATAGGTGCTTTTATTTTTAGTATTGTACAATAATTCGATTTGCATTCGATTTTTATAATTGATAATACTTAATATATTCTAAGAACTTACAATTCATAAAGTATAACTTTTATATATATATATATACACACACATATACACACCAGGTGAATACGTGAATACATACATGTATATAATCTGGGTGTATGTTGTCTTATATATGTGTGTGTATGTATACATATATAATAAATCTCTATTGTATATTTATATATAATAATCATCATTATCTTATTAAACTTATAATATAATAAATACATCACATTTAAAGAGAAGCAGACCTTTTCACCACAAAATTGTAGGCCTTTGCAAAGATTTTCTTTTTTCTAATCATATTATGTATTATTTACATAGATCATCGTTTTACTTATTTACTTAATTTATTTTAGAAACCATTATAATTTAGTCGTTTGAGCATTTGTTAACGTTACATTGTGACAGTAGCAGTGTTCCATTGTAAATTGAGATTTCTGAATTTAAGGAAATAAAAGTTTTGCTTTCAAACAAGTGCACGCATCAAAAAGAAACGAAAATTCAAATTTTAAAAATTCTTTTTTAGTCCGTAATTTCAATAAAAACATATAATTCTTTGATATAATTAAAATATTAAAAATAGTTTACGACAAAACATGTCTTTTAACATCTAACAATTAGATAACTTAGACCGTTCTTTGTAATGATTGATTCATAACGTAAGTACAAAATTATTGCGAATATTAAATAAAACAAATTGTTTACAATGTTAATACTTATAAATTGTTTCGTATCTTCATTTTATTACAAAGTAACGAAAGATAGAAAACCAAATGAAAAAGCAATCGTATTATAATATGACGAACAAAATTATATATGACGAAGAACACTGACAAATCTGTCTCTCGTGCGATTGTACTTTTTCTTTTTCTTCTTATATTTTGTTTCTTTCCTGTATTTTTGTTCTTTCTTAGTAATGTATATACGTCGTTGTACGAGGTACATAACACATAAATCTTTAATTATTCTAACAATGCTCTTCTCTGTTTCTAACATATTTTCATTAAAGATATTTCAAAAATATCTAAGTACGAGTACGCTAGTTAGAGCCTATATATATATATATATATATCATATTATTATAATTATTAATATTAATATTAACTTACGCATTTTAAATTTACATTTCTTCATTTTTTTTTTATTCTTTCTTTAATTATTATTATTATTATTATTATATATATTTTTTTCTTGTTAAATCTCTTTTTCTTCCATTTTATTATTTTATTATTTATTTATTTTTAAATCCTCTTTCTTCGTCACATCTCTAAAAACGATTCCATTCTCTCTCAGTGAAATTAATTATATTATAATACATTTCCTTAAAAACTTGCATCTCTATACAGACATATATACATATATATTTATGCGATATACATTTTACATACATATATTATTATATGTAAATCGTATAAATACATATGTATATGAGCGTATTTGTTATGTACAAATGCACGTGGTGTGCGCATTTATATTATAGATATATGCGTATATCATATATATATATATATATGTATACATATATAAATATATACATATATATATATATATAAATTCTATTGCTGTAATGAAAGCTATTATTATATATACTACTTCGTATGTATAATCCCATAATCGTCGTTGCATTAAACGATCAATATAGGATAAATCCTAAATTTTCTTCGGTCTGACGATCGTTCCTTCCATTTTTCTTTTTTTCCTTTTTTTTTTTTATATAATTATTTTCTATTACTCTAAAATGTCCCGTTCGTTTTCAAACTGCGGGTAAATAACGCGTGGTCTCGTTTTGTACTTTAATAAATATTAGACAATAGAATAATTGGTGTTTTCACTTAAGGACTCTAAAGATATTCATCCTCAGGTTTTGAACGCTTTGAGACATAAAAGCATTTTGAATACCAAGAACGACACTGGTCCAGAACTTCCTTTTGCGCGTTTAAAACTCGTCAAATACTGTACGAGGATATAAACCATTGTTATGTATATATATATATATATATAATATATATTATTTTAATTATAACTTTGTGTGTGATCGATTAGTTTTTTCTTAATTAGAAATTATAACGATGGAAATCAATTGAAAAAGAAAAATCGATATAAGAAACTAATGTGAATAATAATCGATAGCAATGTATGTATATATATGCACGTCTGCATATATATATATATATATATATATATTTATCTTTCTGTGTGTGTATGTATATGTTTATACGTGTATCAAGCTAATGAAGAAATTTCAATTATCGCAATTCATTCATAATAATATTAGGCATTAATTCATTATTAGCGCACAGCCTTATAACGTTTGATGAATATTATTTACAACAAGACTGTTAATATCAACTGTATATTAGTTGATGATATTAATTTAAATGTGATTTTAAAAATAATGCAAATAAATGTGTCTGTGTGTGTGTTATGTATATATCACTAATGAAAATAAATGGAGAGCTACCAATAGGGTTGGTTGGTGGTGGTTGGTTGTTGGCACCGTTCCTGTAGGCTCATTAGCGTGAGGTGGACGGCATTGGATTAAAATGACTGGAGATATTACTGCGGTATGTTGGAGCCAAATACCTTCATTATAATATACAAACATCATTAGACTTCTAATTAAATTAATTAGATTTCATATTTCATATATATATATATATACAGTATCGAACAAATGTATTGACAAAGATTTCAATTTTTTATAATATTCTTCATAAATCTATTAGAAATACAATTCTTTATTTAATTTTATTTTTATTGCATAATATAATATGCAATAATTGTATATAGAAAAATTGAATCTGTATAAATACTTTTGTTCAATACTTTACTTTTGTTTCATTACACATATTTGATATATATATATATTTATATTAAATTTACCTATTCCGGCTTTTTACATTTCGAACGCATTGACCTTTCCTTTGTAATTTTCCATGTTTTTTACAATACTGACGTACTAATCGTTAGGAAGTACCACCGTTACTACTACTTTCTCCTTGACTCATCGAATCCGTGGAAATGCCTTTTTTACTTTCTATACTATGACTAAAATTATTCGTATATATTTAACAATATATGTATATATATATATATATATATATATATATATATATACATGTCATGTATTTAGAACTTAATGATGATAAAATAATATTAAAAGTTTTCTTACTCTCTGCGCATATAAGAAGGTCCAGGTAAATCATCAGTATCTTCTGAGAAAGTACGTACATTCATACGATCACTTCCATAATTAATAGATTTGGATTTGGATATATTATCAGTATTGTGCCCATCACTTATAATACGCTTCATTTTTTGACCTGATGCTTCATTGCTATTCGCAAGATCATTTTCTTCCCCAGATGGACACGATTTAATCATTGCTTCCAAACAATTAACAAACAGTTCTGCATTCTCTGCCGTACGATTGCACTAAAAATAATCAAATATTATGTTAGTTATTTCTAAGAAAATATACATATAAATACATATACTTATATACATTTACGTTCGAATATGGTCCAGCAA